ATGTGTGATTAATACACTTCAAGCCGCGCTGGCATACATTTGATGCCACCTTACAGACGGTCGCTGGAAAAAGCAGTCAACTCATAGATGCGAAAACGGTATGGCTTAAGAGTGTGTTCAGCTCAACAAACATCGACCCGCAAATGGACCTTGGTATTTGTACCATTTTGTACCTGGAGAGGTTGAAGAACCCTAAAGCCGGCTTCCCGGGTAGCAGGTCTCTCAACGTCTTAAGAAAGCCACATCCATCTCAAAACCGAGTTGAAACACCGCCTCAGGCTGGGTCGAGCCATTGAATCGCGTCTCGGTCCCAGCACTTTGCTGTCACTCGGCCAACAAAGGGAAGTAGAATCATACGACTTGGCAATAGTTATGGCAGTGCTGTGATTACTCCCACCAACCGGCAGGAGCTAACTTCCCCCATCTTCCCTCCAAACCCTCAAAACTTGGCTAGTCTAACTCTACGTGCTTTTCAGGTTGGTTTCGCAAGTCTTAGGCCCGAAGTCGCATCTCAGGCTCGCATATCTCTTCAGTTCATCAGCTGTTCTTCTGCTGTGCAGAACAGCCCCTCTGGGCCTCGCGCCTGCCGCGGGGCTCGGTGCTTTGCTTCTACTGGGATTGAGCCCCCGCTGGAAACGACCGAAGGTGGATCGAGTTTGGGCACGGCGACTTGAGCGGTCGGCTTGTGGGGACCGAAGATCAAGACAGAACTGGCAAGATTTCAGTTGACCCAGCCAGAAGCCACTAGCAGGAAGGATTCATGTGTTTTGGAAGCAGTGTTTTCATATCTACATCTCTTTGGAGAAGTGTTGTTTCATGTTTCGACAAAGGCAGAACTTTCTCTCACAGTGCTGCTAGACGACCTCCGTTTTGGGTCAGTCCCTCCCTTCTGAGGAGGCATATAGTTGAAGGGTTAGCGGTTAGGGAATCTCCTCATTTGTTGTCTCCAACCTCTGGATTTGTCGGGGGAATCACTCAATTCATTGGACACTGGACACCACTGCTTTGAGTTGAAAAGAGATCCAGGTATAGTCATGTCGTGGTAGTCCACAGGTGATCCAGGTGATTCATAGGTGTCCAAAGGGGAACAACTGCATTGGTCCAGGTCCGTCCTTTCTCTCCTAAAGCTTTTCCCGGTATTTGCGGATTCGTGCGCCAGGTGAAAAGTCTTGGCACTCGAGGGATAGAGGTACTGGTGCTGTGCTACTTCATGGCTGTTTGGGCCGTGTCTAGGCTGAGCCAAGTGGGAGAAATCATGCGTTCTGGTTGAAATTGGTTTGACGAGCAAAACACTACCACTTCTTTGCCTCCTCACTCTCTGAGGAGGAATGAACCAAAAGGCTTGGCAACGACGCACCAGCGAGTTTGACACACCCTTTGGAATGTAACGGAGAGCTCTCCACTTTGTAACGGAGGCTGAGAGCTCCACCGTCTCAGTACAGCGAACACATCTCCAAAGGCAACACAGGCAATACGACCGGGAGAGTTTCCGGGTTGGGTGTGAATGACAATTTTTGGTTGGTCCAAATGGACTCTGCCAAGGAGGACAAACAGTTCATAGTGAGGGATGACTCTTGCTCCCTTCAGTTGAGGACTCGTTGTCGTCCCAGACTCGCTTTGTTTCGCCTTTGAGAGCAAACTTGGAGGACATCTGCCACCCATACATCAACTCTCCAAGACACTTCTCAACCTACCTGAGTCTTAGTTCAGACCGCAGAAAGTGGGCACAGTAGAGTCCTTTGATTTATCCAGGTCCAAACAGAAGCCTGCGCAGCAGTGGAGGAACTCCAGGACTGTTTCACTGGGAGAAGACTTCCGACCATCCAAGATCCAATAGCCTGATAAAGCAGCCTGGTAGTATGAGTATGGAGTCGTACGACTCAGGTGCACTACTTTCCCAACACCGTGCAGCTGAACTCCCTGCGCAGCCCGAGACTTCCGGCCTGGTCTGCTGCACTGGCCGCTGCTGCGCTGGGCGCGCTGGGCGCTGCCCTCACCGCGCAGCTACTGCGAAGCCTGGGGAGTCGACTGCAAGAGTGGCGCAGCCGTGCCATGCGCAGGCGGTCGTGGGATGGCGAGTCGCATGCGAGTCGCCATCCGGTCTGACGGTGGGTCCAGATGCAAGTCGCTGAACTTTCTTTGTTGACGGCGTTGAGGGCTTCGTTGAGGGCTTCGTTGAGCTCAAACATGTCAAATCCTTTTGGGTGGGAAACCTTCCTTTTGCCACCGCGATGGGACCGGACGGAGCAACATGGAAGAACCTTATACTATAGCCTAAAAGACTCATTGGAGTTCTTTTCATTTTTGGGTCGGAGACAGATGTTGCCATCTGTCAGAGGACTGGTTCGATGACAGATGAATCCCTAAGAATCCCGCATCAGGTCCTAAGAATCCCTCTTCACAACACCTCCAGTTGCTTTTTTGACACTGACACTCCCTGAAAAGATCACCAGCACCTTCCCGGTGACCTCTTACAGGATTGGTATTTAAGTGACCTGAAATCAAGGCCTATATGACCGACCCGCCACTGGGATCTCAAGTTCGCTCACGAACGGAAGGTTTTTGGTACGTGGAAACTCCACCGGTTTGGTCTGAGAAAAAGGGCTCCTCCACCCGGTTTGCTCTGCTCGGCCTGTGGGGTTTCCACTTCGCTCCCATGCGGGCTCATGCACCGTGTGCACCATCAGATGGACCGGTGGACAACCGGTTCGAGGGAAACTCATCCGAGGGCGGAATCGCTGGGTTTGGAATCCTCCGGCACTCGGACGGAAAGCACTAATTAGGACAAAAATAGGACAACATGTATTTGTATCAAAATGTATTCTTGAAGGGTTCCAAGATTGATAACCCTTTCCCCGTGTTCATCCTGCGAGAAAGATGCTTAAAGTGTGGCTTCACACGGCCAATTGTCCTCCGACGAAAGAAAGAGGTGTTTATATAATTGTCATAAAATTTACCAGCAGTTCCAAAAGGGTGCTTACTGGAGTTTACGGGTGCCCACTATATTGTCCACTCGCTGGACTAAACACCACCCCTTTGTGACTAAAGGATGGTGACCACTGGCCACGCGAAATGGACTTCTCAATTTGACCGCGGCTGATCCACATATATAGATGTTTTAAGACGGATGGATAAAAAAGGATCTCAATTGTTCAAACCTCTGTCCAGTGTCCTCCCACCAACCGGTGTGTGAGGGAGTCGGTTTGTCGTCACTGGAAAAGCATCCTTTTTGGTAGGAAAAACACATATTTGGGGATGCAGGTCGGTATAATGTATATATACATATGTAAATTATTGATATTAATGTGTCTAGTTATTTACATACATATGTACACACCTTAATTTATGACCCATCCCCTTTTAGGCAACTCGCTATTCGCTATTCGCTCGAATGAGGCGGCGAGCCAAGCAGTGAGAGCAGTGGAAGATCCTCCAAAGAAGAGGTGTGTTTTTAGGGGAGCAGACTGCAACACTCCTTCAGAATGAGTCACTGAATGTAGCTGCAATGAATAGCTGAATGAATAGCTGTCCTAATCTTGTGGTTTCTGAAACCACAAAGAGATCACAACAACGACATTATACTTGTTGTTTGATTGGTTCATCAGGATATGAACATACCATCGTTGTTGGTTGCTTCTTTTGTTTTGGTTTGATTTGTTTGAATCTTTTGGATGAAGAGGAACGCTTAAAGCTGACTCGTCCATGGATTTAAACAGTCAAATCTTCCAAAGGCTTGTTTGAACGATGGATACATTTGCATTCTTCTGACCAAACATATCGGTTAACTCGGGGTGCAGACAAGAATCCTTAGACGTAACATGCCCGTATAGACCAGATCTATATTAGGCTGATGTATGGCAGATTAACTGCTACAAAGGATAGAATGGGTGTTGATGGAGCACGGCAGATAGGTGTATATACATACTTTGCTAGATAAATGATGGCAACAGATTATGGAGTCTGTGAATGAGGAGACAGACAGAAAGAGAGGGAGAGCTAACTTCAGCATCCATTGCCAAGAGCGTTTGTCAACTACAGGACAGGGAGAGTTTCCCCGAAAATAGTATAAGCTCACGCAGGCTCGCTGGATCTGAGTATTGTGTAGGTGTTCCACGCGTCAGCAGAGGAGCGAATGGAGCAGCGTAATTACAGTGAATTCGAGATCAGCCATGGGTCATTCGTCGCTAAGACTTGGGTCATTTTCAACTTGGTTTATAGATGCAGAGCAGGGGAAGTTCATGTTCTTTCAAATTACCAGGGTTCCTAAACAGGTAGCAACGTTTGGAGAGACACAAGCTCAAATACTTATCTATAGGGTTCCCAACTAGATATCGGAATCATTATCCTTGCATCTTTGAAGGCGCTGGAAATTCACGTCACATTATTGAAGGCGCTGCTACGATGCTACCTATTTTAGTCTCGAATGACTCAGGGTCGTTGCACGATGGAGTCGGGTGCTTTCCTTCGGTAAGGTGTCCGCAACGCAGGTGCGAAGAGAACCGCGTCCGCGGCGTCCGCTCCGCAAGCGCGCGTTGTGTCCGCCCTCGTGCTCCCTTTGCATCGAAGGTGTGGTTTCATACGTTGACCCAGACCATCCATGGGACGAACGTTCATCGTTACCTACATGTTTGGGTCATACTTTGGTGAGTGTGGTGCAACTCTTCCGGCCTGATAGATGGTCTGGGTCACAGTTCTTGGTTCCGACCCGTGGAGAGAATGTGGTGCACGGGTCGTGAAGTGCTTCCCCGGAGAAGCATCCTGGATCGAAGACTGAAGCCTTGGATTCCAGCTGTCCCTAGAAGGCCTTCTACAAATCTTCGAAAGCATCCAAGATCCAGCAACAACAGGTACGTACGTCCTGTGTGTGTGCGTGTGTTTTGACTTGATGGGATGGGCGACAAGCAACTTGTCCATGGTTGAATGGATCATGTCATGTCCCGTCCCAGCCCACACGTCGTTCGCCCAACGAACGCGTGCGGTCGGGCCACTGAGTCTGCTAGGAGAGGAACTGCCAGCAGCAACAGCACGTCAGGGATATGGAGGCAGGGAGACTGATCGCGGAAAAGCGGAGAAGAGTGATATGGCTGTGGGTCACAAAGCAGGGGACATGTATCTATGTTTGTGTATATGGCTACGGCCAGAAACATAAGGCTTGGATCACACACCCAAACCCACACACGATCCATACCTCGATCCATGGGGTATGGATCAAAAGGTGGGTGTGTGATCCAAGCCCTTGGATCACAGGCTTAGTTTTCCTGGAGGTTGTGAAGGAAAAAAGACAAAACATCAAGAAGACAAGAAGAAGGAGGACAAAGCAAAGAAACAGAAGAAGGAGAAGGAGAAGGAAGAGAAACAGACACAGTAAAAGAGGACAGACCAAGAACAATATGAAAGAATTAAGCAAACATAGTAATAAGAAGAAGACGAAACATAAACAGAACAGGAGAAGAAGAAGAAGAAGAACAGCAAGCAGAAAAAGAAGAACAGCAAGCAGAAGACAACAATAGGTTAGCCTCTAGACATCCCGAGCGCCCAAAACAACCCGCCCTAGAACCAGGGAGAAGCAGAAGTCATTTTGTGAAGTCAGCCCCACCAGTCGATCCGGAGATTGGTGGCTTCCGCTAATTGGTTGTTCTTTCTCTCTGGGGGGTCCATTTCAAAGAACTCCTTCCAGAAGAAGATTCCTTCGTCTATATACTGGATAAGGCGCTGGCCCCATAATCTTATTAAGGAAACCGTTCGTAGTTCGATCCTCTGCCGAGCTTCCCTTTAGATTGCTAAGGGGCAGGGATGGACAGCCACCATTTCACTTTTCAATTTAGCGGCTTCCGCTAAATCTTTTCAAGTTTCTGCTTGGCCAGCAGTGTTGCATCATCTTCAGACTCGTCTACTTCCAGCCTTAAAAATCAGGGCGGGGCAGTTTCAACTTACCGGAATCCACTACTTGGAAAACTGTTGATAGCCGAAAAATGAGTTGAATGTAAACTCCCAAACCCAGTAGCGAAGTGTGTCTTTCTCCGAACAGTCTTGCCTGACATTCCCGAAGAACATCAGTCGGAGGTTCTCTCTTCAGTGGAAGGTTCTTGGGAGAGAGTCGCCCAAGGTCTTGGAAGAAGAGCTCAAATCGAAGTTCCAGGCCACGTCGCACGGTTTAGGGGTGCAGTGTGGCACTGATGCCAGTGTTTGGTTGTGTTTTGCTTAGTGAAGTTGAGGAGAAGCTCATCACCCTTTCTCTGATTGGTCCATCTAGGTCTTGGGCAGGATGACAGGCATGGGGTAGGGGCAGGAGTTCCAAGCATGCTGGCGGGGTGATAATGATTAAAAATGGATGAGTTCCCGTTGTTTTACTGCAGATCTGTTCGAAGCTGTGCTGTCCAGAATTGTGCTGTCGGTGTTTCAGAGCCTCAGGTCTCGGCAAAAGCACCCTGATTTAAAACCTTAAATTGAATTATGTTTTTGTTGTTTCTTGTATTTCTTCCTAAACCATCGGTTTGGGAAGTGTGCTGGCTGGAGATCCCTAAGAGTAGCGTAGTCTAGGACGCTGAAGAAACGAGTGAGAGCAACCATATCTCCAATGTAGTTCAGTGGTCGATTCCTGGATCTTCCAACTGTGCAAGAAGATTTTCCTTCTGGCTGGTTTCTTGAAGAGGCATATGGCATGCATATGGCATATACTTTGTGTATAGTTGGAAGATGTCGGAAGATCTAGGTGTTCAATGCCCTAGCACCGGTTCAATGCTTCATGTATAGGTTTCTCAATCGACCCTGGTCACCGGTGAACATGTTCAGCAAGGCTTCTCGACTTTTACCCTAGGGCTCCTGTCGCATATCCTCAGAAGGTGGCTAGGCCCTTCTGGCACCCCCCCCCACAACCACCGAACTGAAACGGAGCTAATTAGGCCAGAAGCCCTGGGGTGGGGACTCTGATCAGCTTCACCGGCTTTTTGTGTGGGGCAGCTCACAGAGCAGCTTCACCATGCTTTACCAGCTTCAAGCCGAGGTGCGGAACCCCTTGGGTGTTTCAGAGACCGAATCCGCGGGGGCGGAAGTTCGTCTTCGCGTCTTTAGCCCAGCTTCCTGACGAATCCCTACACAGGGTCCTACAGGTCTTACTATATAACTATAGACCTCATTTTCACACCGGGATCGAGTTCGTGCCAGAAATCCTACTCCATCAGCTTGGTCGGACCAGGTTTGAAAAATCCTTGGACTGCACTCCGCTTCTGCTTCCGCAGCTGTTAGCTCCGAGCTCCGCTCCTCCGAAAGCTCCACTAGCCCAGCTCTGCTTTCCGCAGAACTCGCCAAGAATGGCGCGCTGGCAGAAGCCGGAGCCGCTGGTGCCGCACCGTGGCCAAAAAGACACCGGAGCTGGTTTGGAGGCCATCGCTATTAGGTTGAAGGCCATCGCTAGCAGGTGCAGAAAGCGTCAAATGTGGCAGGTGCAGTTTTGAGATTTCAGAGGAGCTTTGAGAGTTGTGGATGGGGGAGGCCTTTGACCTCGCCTCCTCGGTGATTGTTTTGTTTTGTCTTTTCACCGGTGCACAAACAAAGTGTTCGAATAAGCATGCGAGGACAGGTTGGGTGAGGATGAAGGACAAGAGCCCTAGGTGAGGAGGAAAGATGGCAAGCAGACTCAAGCAGGCTCGTAGATTTTTAAGGGAAGGGCATTGAAGTGGTTTGCAGAGCTTCAAGTGCTAAGGGTGCAAGGCTGCTTTGAATTGAACGGAAGGGAACTAGTTGTGTCAAAGACCAGAAATCTTTGATTCCAAGATGTCATCCATGCAGTTGTGCTTTTGGGAAGAAAAAAACAAGGTTGGTTTTCAGGTCACTCTAAAGTATAATCCCTGCTTGCCGCTTTCCCTCTTTTGTTGGGATGGGCATGTCAACCTCGAGAGTTGCTCCGGTCCGTCTCCAGTCAAGGCAGCCCACTCGTCGGATCTAAGATCTAAGGGATCGGGATCTAAGGCCCAGGCTGTGTCCCAGTAGTAGCAGTAAGCAGTTGGTCATATGAAACAACACGGTTTTGGAGAAAGGCAAATGCCAACTGTTACTGGTAATCCAATAATACCCAAGATCTGATCATGTTGAATGTGCAGAGTGGATTATCGTCTCGCTGTCGGGGGCCCTGGGGGGCTTTTCATTTTTGACAAGCCACAGGAGATGCTCCCTGCACTGCAACTCAGGTACATCGATACCTTTGGCTTTGATTTGCCCAAGAGTGCGCCACTGAGCACCAGCGACCCATGGACTTCGAGCGTCCCCAGTGTGCCATGGGAGGCGTGGGGCGTGTGGGGCGGTGGGCCTGCGCAAGGCATGCGGAAGGTGGGGGTGAACGTGGAGCGGTCCACTCCACTAGATCAACAGTGATTCACCTGCTTGGTGAAGAAAATGTGTTCATCGTCCCTGGCAGGTTTAAGCGCTCCCAGAATTTCCATTGAAGAGATTAGCAGGGTAAGAAGTGAATCATGGTAATTACTGAGCAGCCCAACGACCCAATATTGGAACCTAGACCCATGATTGATACTATACCTATGTGTGGATCCACTGCCACCCTTTGAGAAGGTGATTAGAGACACTTTTACCGATTTACATAGGCATGGAGGGTCCAGTATACCTTCTGAGAAGATATGTGGGTATGCAAAAGACACAAACAAAACAACAGACAAAGAGAAGTTCGTGTCGCAAAAATGGTACGGGATGTGCTTCCGTCCATCCATCTTCCTGGGCCGGCTGTACTATATACTTCTGAAAACCAACATTGCATAGGTTTTGGAAGGAAGATGCCTTTTGTGGCATACACATTTGCAAGTTCAGCTTCGAGTGAGTCCACTTTCTATCGATTCACTCGCAAGTTCAGCCAGGATTCAGAGGTGGCCCCAATACCTCATCTCATCTCCGTTCAAACACCAACTATATGGCATGATTGATTTGTGTCAGTCATATCTTTGCACATTCACCTGCTTCCAAGGCATGGAACTGCCTGTGTCGCGAGAACGCCGAACTCGCCTCGCGCCGCGCCAGGCAAGTTCCCCGATGGCCATCAGGGAGTCGATGCCTTCAGCAGTCTCCCCAAGTCTCTTTGAGACCACCGACATCGAGGTCCGATCGATGGGCCAGGCTGCGAAGGGCGCCCATGAGGGGAGGCACAGAAAACCGCAGGTTTCAGGGAATAGGGCAAGTCCGGCTCCTGGCCTAGCTCCCTTTCGGTTCGATGGTTGGGGTTGCCAGGAAGGTCGGTTACACCTTGGGAGCCATGGGGATCATTTGTCCTCGAACCTGAATGATTTCTATTTTGGACTAACCAACGAACGTATGGCATTATGGCCTTTTCCGATCAGAACAGGGGCCAGTGCTTCATGAGCTTGCAAATGGCAATCGGAAGAGAGCCAGATCACAACCAGACATCACCAGATCCATAGACCTTCCTTTTAAGGTCCGGGACCTCAAAAAGAACATCAGCCACATCATGCCGAGAGTGTACCTTTTGAGAACACTTTTCTCAGCATTGTCGAGGACCTTTCTTTTTGAAGACCGTCAGGGGTATGTACCAGCTTCTTCAAAGTGACCGTTTGAAGGTTCCTTTCAGTGACCCTTAGGAGGCTTAAGTGACCTCAAACCAGGTTATCAAAAGGTCACTTTGAAGAACCAGGTATATATGGTTCAGAAATATATTTTTTGTCAGGATGTGGTGACTAGATTGTTCATGATTTTGCAACCAACTGGATTGAGTTGTCCATTGATTTTGGGGTGGTCACTAGGATATACTAGGACCATCGGACAGTCAACCTGTGAAAAGCAGTTTGAGTGAGAATTGAAGAACCAGTAGTGCCATCGATGCCGTTGGATGTGAGCTCGCATAGATGCAGTTTCTATATGGGTGATTTCCTTGCGAAAATATCTCCATGCAACATCATGCAACTGGGGCTGCCGGCTGGCGGATTGGGAGATTGCATGACTTACCCTCTGGAAAACCATGTCCCCCTGGAAGATTGAATTCCACTACAAAACCACTGGTTTTCAGGGTCGGGGTATTCCCCATCTCTGGATTCAGACCGATTCCCTGCCAAGAGACAGTCTCACCAGGAGCTGCGCGAGACCATCATGAGGGAAGAGAAGGCGAGACCGGGGTGACATCAGGAACCAGGACCTTCAGTTCGTGACATCTTTGGAGTCTATAAGTGACCTTAGAACGGACCTAAGTGACCTCATCCTGGGAGTCCTCAAAAGGGTCACGTACTGAAGGTCCTGGAATATGGCGGTAGACCATTCCTATCATCGCTTCCGGTTCACGCGAGAGTAGGGGTTCCCGTTTGGTCCCGATTCCCAGTTTGGTGAGTGTATGGTCATTGGTTCGCAGCAACATGTTGTGATTTCAGCATCAAGCAATTCATGTGAACCATTTGTTAAACTCACTTCCCTACGTACCATGAACACGTCACATTAAGGGACTGACTCAGCAATGAGCGAAGCAAATGCAACGAGCCGCAACGAGCCGTGTTGTTTCGCCAGGGTTGGTTTTGTGAGGCTAGGCCTCTCAGGCCGTCAATCGAGTAGAGACCGCAAACGTTTAGCTTTGTTTCAGACACTGGGACTCACTGACATAGAAGTGGGAAAGAGAACATTCTTTCTTGAGGAATGTCATTTTCCAAGCTAAGGGACCATGTTCTTCCATATTCCATTTCGGTGTTTGTGAGTTCCAGTGTATCTATGTACTTGTAGGCTTTGAACATCATGGATTGCCTATACTCAACTGTGTCGAAAACAACCCTGTCCCCGCAGCTCAATCCTTTGGAGGCTTGAGGTAGCTGGTAGGTGGGTAGGTGGCAAGCCAAGCCAAGTCCAAACGGAAGAAGCCAAGTCCTAGCTGCTTCTTCTGTGGGGTGTTTGGTTGCTGACAAAAGTGGATGATCACGTTGCCACTAGTGAGTCCAGCTTTCAATTGGTGCGCAGTCCATTTAAAACTTGTTCTCTCGCTCTCTCTCCTCTTGTCTCTCTTCCCCAGGAGAAGGCAGCTGAGGCTTATGCTCAGAAAGAGCAAGAGCTACAGGAGTGCAACCGTTCACTCCTTTGTGGGATTCTCTGTAAACTAGCGATTCGCAGTCGCAGTCTATTGATGATCATGATTAGTGCTGGTGA